CCCCCAGCAGACCAGGGAGACGTGGAGCAAAGCGGCGGAGGACCTGGGCCGGACCCGTGGCGCTTCCAGATCAGCGCCGCGGGTCCGGCCCGGGTCCTCCGCCGATTTGCTCCCCGTCTCCCTGGTCTGCTGGCTCCTCCAGCAGACCAGGGAGATGGGGAGCAGCTTTTCTCGCCCCGGAGGAGGTGGGCGGCGGGACCAGGCATCCCGCTGCTCCAGTCCTGTGGGGCGAGAAAATCCCCGTTCGTAACTGCGGATCCGACATAAGTCTGATCCGCATAACTCGGGGACTGCCTGTATTTAAAAAAAATAAAAAAAAAAAAAAATCAATCATGGCCAGAAACAAATTCCTAGGCACCAAATACTGAAAGATCACCTTCAGAAAAAGAAAAGAGGAAAAAAAGAAAGAGAAGAAGGAAGAAGAGGAATATGACAATATTCAGAGGGCATTTGCCAACATCACAGGGTAGCCAAACAGGTGACAGTTGTTCTCTTTTCACCAGTTTTAAGTAGTAGTAAGTTAATGGTGTAAGAAAAAGCCTATGTTAGAATACCAGGATGCATATAAAAATAAAAAAGGCGTAGAAGATTATGAGCTTCCCCTGAATTAAGCATTTTATACATAAACAAGAGGCTCAACCTTTTAACTGAAGTTAAATCTTGCAAATTTGGACCACAAACTTATGTCCCCAGAGCACCCACTCAACTCTATGAAAATTTGCTCAGACATTATATTAATGAACACAGTATAAACATGTAACTAAAGCAAATGAAATACAAAAATTGACCTCTGAAACAGAATAAGCAGGTTATTTCTGTACATCCCGAGTATTTTCACAGCCCTTCAGCAATAAATCTCATCTAAATCAAAGAGGAGAAGTGGCTGAAGTTGAGCAATTACTTGCACGCTAGCATGCAAAACTGTCCCATCTTATCTTCACGAGAAAAATTAACTGTTAATTGTCTAAGCAGAAACACCCAAGAGACCTACACTGTAATTTTAGGGTATGAATTGAAGGACTCTCAGATCTCATGTTGAGAATATAGCATTAGCTGATTTTAAAAAGCCATGCACATTCCTCCCCCTCACCAACATTTTCCCTGTGAACAGGGCAAATATGAAATGGTATCCATAATAAACTTGGTATTTTTTACGTTGTCCCTGAGAGACTTTTCATAAAAGAGCTGAATACTAAGCACCTAAATGTAACTTTATGTTTTCATCAGCAATGTATCTCTAAGGAAAGAGGTGAACCTACCTTACCTACCTCCAATTACCTTAGATAATACCACCAATGCAGATAATATCAGTTTTAGGGGCCAGACTGAAAGAAGCAATTACTAGATATTTGTGTGAGCAACAGGAAATGGAAATCGATATAACTGTTCAAACTACATAAGGATGCATGTAACTCTAGAAGTTGAAAACCCTTGAAAGGATATACATTTGCAAGATGACCTCTCAACTGGGTTTTTTTTTTTTTTAATTTTCCTAGAACTGAGTCCAGTCAGGGTCCAAAAACATCATTTTAGCAAGACTCACAGGGCATGTCTACACAGCATGGCAGAAGCTGAATTAAGCTACGCAACTGCAGCTATGTCAATTGTGTAGCTGAAGTAGAAATAGTTCAGTTCAGCTTTAGGCTCCATCTACACAACAGAAAGTTGAAGGAAGAACACTCTTCCTTCAACTTCCCTTAATCTTTGCGAAATAAAGGTTACAGGAGTCGGAGTAAGAAGTCCTCCAGCTCATCATTAATTTGAAATAATGGCTGATTGTGTAGATGAGCTCTTTGTTATTTCAGAATAACGTCAATTATTCTGAAATAATGCTGTTGTGTAGACATAGCCAGAGTCCAGAGGACTGATCTAAGGAAGCTGAGGACTATATTTCATGTAGAAGAGACAAGTTCTTAAAAAAACTGATCTAGTATGAATAATCTAAAATCTACATACAATAAAACTACAGAAAAAGCCCTAAAGGTCTGCAGCATAGACTCAGACACAGTAAGAGGTTCCTTGTATGTTATCTGCAACAACAGAACTTACGGTTGCATTTTCTTTCTCCCAGCTTCTAATTATACTGCCTGAGTCTATACTTTATTTGTGCTATCCCAAAGATGCAGTAGCTTTCTTCAAGTCTATCCAACAAGGTTTCTATTGTCAGTATCAATGAATTATAAAGCTCATCATATTAATCTGATAGGTTGACATCTTTCTCTTGTTGACCAACTGGGATAACAAGACTGTCACCTGTAATTTTTCAAATTTTTCTTTAAAAAAAAAAAACTATGGGCTGCGTCCTCTTCTCGCTATGCTCGCCTACCCTCTTTTCTCTATCTGTCTTCACTTTGCTGAGATTGTCTATAGTTTTTCCTGCCGGGCGACAGAATGATGTCATCACATCATCAACGTCAATAGGCTGAGAGAGATGAAAAGCTTGTTTACTCCCTGATTTTCTACTACTATGAATTCTGTTTGGAGCTGGATCATAAAAAAAGACTACCTTCCTCTTAATCTTGTTGATTTATCGCAGAGTCATTCAATAGCACTAACTTATCTGTATTAGTTTTGGAATGCTGATTATTTCCAGTAGGTGAATGATTCATAAAATATGGCTAGAATATCGGAGTTTCAAATTTTAAATGAAGCACAAACCAAATATCATTAGGTTTGCTGGTAACTACTGATCATTGTGCAGCATTGTTTGGGATTCTGACTTCTCCTTTCTTAACCGCTTGAATATCTTGTGTAACACCACCCCAAAGTGGTTGTACAGAGACTGAATCTAGCACCTCTGACTCTAAAACAGGGTGGCCATTAATTTTTGCAGAGGAGCTACTCCAAAATTTGCTAAGTGGTCATGGACTGCACTTTTCCACTATATTAAATGAGGGAGTGTGGGGTCTGGGATAGAGTTTGGGCACAGGATGAGATTCTGACCTGGGACAGGGTTGCAGAAGGGGATGTAAGGTGTGGGCTCTGGCTTGCCTGGGACGCACTTAGCATAGGTGGCGCAGTAGGAGACTCATGCCATGGTGGCTCCATTCAGCTCAAAGCTGCCTGCTGCTGCTGGCAGGCAAACATGTCTTGGTATACCTCTTGGAGATAGTGCTTAATATTATATTCAAGGCCTCCACATTCTGCCTACGACACACACACCACCTCCACAGCTCCCGCTGGGCAGGTTCTCACTTCGCAACACCTCTCAAGAGGTACCCAGAGACATGCTTCTCGGTAGCCTCTGGCCATGGCACTTTCAGTAGTGGTGTGACTGAGACTGCAGTAGGCAGGCTGGCCAAGTACCCTGCTGCACTGCAGGACCTTTTCCTTCAGGCCACCCATACTCCAAGAGCATGAGCGGCTAGTGCTTGAGCTAAAGGACTGAGTCCATTAGCTTGGAGGCAGCAGTCAAATGAACTCTCCATACATGGTCTAACAACTAGATGGGGACAAAGAAGAATGCTGTTAATATGTGTTTCAGGACAACACAATTAAACTTCACTTACAAATGTATTATACATTTAAACTTTACTTCCTAAATTAGTAAATGAAACCCAATTTTATTTGAATTTTAACATTTATGTTTGTCAATATATTGTTTCCAAGGGCATTGGATTCATTTTTTTTAACCTAACTTGTTTTCAATGTTTGAGCATCTTTGTTTCTCATTCAACATTTAAATATATAATCCTAGTTTAAAAGATTAATGCTAATAAAGAACTGCAGGAAAAATAACAAAAATGACAGTTATTTAAAATAAGTTTTCTTGAAGGTACAAGTAATGCTAAGACTACCATAAACTCTACAGTAATGGAATATTGGAGAACTATTATAATTTGGAAACTGAACCAACAAGGAGACCAGGTATCTCCATAGTCTGATTGTTTTTATCCTCTCTTTTTGATTCTAACAGGAAAAATACTGAAAGGCTGAACAAAGTACAAAAATTGTTTTAATACAAATTAAATAATTTATCAACACATTTTGCCATAAAAATATATTTAGATACCTCAAACTGATAGACACAACAGATAAAATTCTGCTCAGTTACTCTTTTGCAAATCTTTGAAAGTAGTGCAATTACAAGTGATGCAGTGTAGAACTTCATCCATTAAAAATCAAGGAAAGACTTGCTAGCTTTATCGGAATTCTGCCACAGTATGGAAAAGCTACCATTCAAAGGAGAATCCATAGTTTCTATTACTATAAGTTCAGAAATTCAACCAGAAATTGAATTGGGAATTGAAGAAGTCACATAGTAGTACTTTAACTATTAATTCAGAAGAAAACAAGTATCTACTAATACATTATTCAATTACTGTGGAAACAGTGGTACTTTTCACCATCAAATGTGACATAAGCTGTAACTGAGTAATAAAGAATAACTAAAAAATAGCAATTCATATTTAATGAATTAAATGTTTTATTCAAAAATATTTTACTTAACTTGAAACAGCTCTATAATCCTCTACATTTTGCTAAAACAAATACTAGGAAGATAAGAAAATTGATCATCTTTTCAAATGGTTACCTCAACAATATCCGAGTTGGTTCTGCTCTCATGGGGTTCATTGTATTCTGTATATTTGAGTAGAACTTTGTCCATGTCAGTGCTGGCATACTGAAAGAGTTTGTTAGAGCTGTTAAAAATGATGAGTGCTATTTCACAGTCACAGAGCACACTAAGTTCATATGCCTTCTTCATTAATCCAAATTTCCTCTTCGTAAATGTTACCTATGCAAGAAAGAAGAGTGGAGGTTTTTCAGATGACAGAAAAAAAAAAAACCCTTATAATGGCTGTAATTAACACCTAAACATGACTGGTAGTTGAGAGAAGGCACTTTGTACTTCCAGTAACAAGACATCTATTACATGCATACAAGCAAGATTAATGTTCAGTGTTAATTCTCATTTCTCCTATTCAAATATACAATCATGTCACTGATACCATGTTATACAAATGAAATAGAAGTTGGTGGGAACACTGTCTTCTGATAAAAACATAACTACAGAAGAGCCAAATTCTATTAATTGAAATAAATAAATTTAATCAGAACTGCTAAATGGAATTGTCCCTAAAAACAATGGAGCCCAGCTATACTGAAAAGGTCTTACTGGTTCAGCATTTTATAAGTTTATCCAAGCTTTAATCCTAGACTTACAAAATACAAAGGGAAATTGTTGGTACATTAATGCTCTATTTAAAAAAAAAAAATCAATGTCTTCAAAGAATCTGGTGTACTACAGGTAGTTGGAGGGCAAGGGCAAGAGAACCATCACCAAAACTAATATTACTCCTAGATATTTTTGTATGGAGGACCAACAATGACTTACTTTTAATCTCCAGTCTTAAGAGAATTCAGTGATCAAGGACTCAAGTGAAGAAAAGTAACAAAAACATGTCTCTCCTTTTTTACTCATTTAACAGATATTCTCTACTATTGCCTCATCTCAGATTGTGCACAGCTCCCCATTATAATTAAACTTGATACATAAATGTTGTAATATGTTTTTATGCCACATAATGAATTTATTTGGACAAGAGCATTCTAAATTTAATCTACTATACCAAACACATTTTATGTACACATTTCTATGGCACGTACTGGCAAGAAGAAACCACTAAAATCTACTGTTACATAGGAACGCTACTTCTTGGATTGGAATTGAACACTGGCCCCAAACGCCTTCACTGCACTATTATGATTTTGGGAAATGAAAAGTAAATATTTTTAACAGATGCTTTTATTTTAACCTAGAGCAGCAAATATCATCTGTCACATCCTCTTTTTTAACTTGTAGTAGAGTTAAGGAGACTGATAACTTTAGCGCTAGAAATCCGAAAAAACAATATAAAAATGTCACCACTAAAATGTTAATGCATGCCATATAAAACTATTTAGGAAATATTAAACTGTCAAGCAGCTCTGTTAAAAAATATGTGGAAATGTATATTTGTATTTGGATCCATTTTCTATAATAATTTTCAGTGAAATATCTCTGAACATCTCTATGCATCATTTTTAGTGAATGAGAACAATTGGATTGAAGATTCCTTTTCCAATCATGCTAAAAATGCAAGAATTAACAAGTCTACCAAGTGCTCTGAAGAAATACTGCCACACTCATAGACTTTAAGGTCAGAAGGGACCATTATGATCATCTAGTCTGACCCCCTGCACAGTGCAGGCCACAGAATCTCACCCACCCCTCTTAGAATAATCCTCTCACCTATGTCTCAGATATGGAAGCCTTCAAATACTTTGAAGGCCCCAACATGCAGAGAGTCCTTCAGCTGTGATCTGTGCCCAATGCTACAGAGGAAGGCGAAAAACCTCCAGGGCCTCTGCCAATCTACCCTGGAGGAAAATTCCTTCCTGACCCCAAATATGGCGATCAGCTAAACCCTGAGCATGTGGGCAAGACTCACCAGCCAGACACCCAGAAAGTTCCCTATAGCAACTCCTATCATCCCTCCATTGACCTATTTCCAACTGATAATGAATGGTCAATTAGTTACCAAGATCATGTTATTTCATCCAACCATCCCCTTATCATAGAATCATAGAACTGGAAGACACCTCAGAAGGTCGTCAAGTCCAGCCCCCCGCTCTAGGCAGGACCTATCCCATCTAAATCACACTAGGGGCATAACACACGAACTGACATACTGGGTCAGACTACTGGTCCATCTGCCCAGTATCCCGTCTCTGACAGTGACTCATGCCAGTTGCTTCAGAGGGAATGAAGAGAATGGGGTAATTTTGAGTGATCCATTCTCAATTAGGGTACCTCACAGCTACAGCCTGCACTAGTTGATGGCCATCAATTATCATGTACTTCCACCATGTGAAAAGTTTACAGACTCCACTCTGTACCTATAAAATGCTAAGTTTTGACTAGCCAGTGTGTCACAGCCTGGCTGGCTTGAACAAAAACACAAAACATTATCCAACATTTTTGGTTTGACAAGGTTAATTGAAGCCTTAATCTTAAATCAATACAAATTCAGCTCACAATTTTATACTCATTCTCCCTAAATCAGCTCCCATTTGGAAAATCGTAACAGATTTGCCCTTAGACCACCACTTGAAGATGAGGCAGTTACACTGCGATACATTTTTTTTTTTTGAAACCTAGTGGACAGATCTACCAAATGAAACGCTATCATGTGCCATGTATGACTCAGTCACCTGAAATTTTAGCTAAAACTCAGGACAGCAGAAAAGTTTCTGGGCTTCCAAATAAAACCATGATGAAGAACTCCATAAAAACAATTCTTGGAGAAGAAACAATTTTCCAGATAACCTTGTGACTTAAAATATATTTTATTTTGCTCAAACCAGATCACTCATAGAACATAAGATTAAGTATTTTAAATAGCAATTGTCTTCATGAGAATTTGCTTCAGAAAAATGTTTTCATTCTCAGATGTTGCTGAAGAAAGGAGGCACAATTATAAAAATCTTTGCTTATGAATTTACACAAGCTTCCCCTTCTTGTTTAATGTGAGGCAATTATGCTCTTAAGAAGCCTGGTCATTTCCCTTTGGTCAGTTGTTCTCAAAGTGTAGCCCACACACCAAGCTTTCAGGTGGGAGACAGGCTCTGGGCTCATCTTCCTTGGGGAAAAGGGAGGGGAAGAGAAGAAGTCGTATGAACCAGATATGACTTGCTAAGTAAGGAAGCAGCTCTAAGCACTGCCACTCCTCCTCCCCATAGCTGGGGAAATGGCAATGCAGGAAACCGCTCACCTGGAGGCTTTCATGACCACAGCAGCAGGGGGCACAGAGCCAAGTAAGCATCTCTCATGCCCAGACCCCACACTCCTGAACCCAACCTCCCCGCCAGACCCTTCTATCCCCACGCACACTCCTGCACCCTCCCTCCTGGCCAGACCCCGCCCCCCCATACCCATACCCAACTTCCCAGCCAGACCTGCACACCTAACCCCTCCTGCACTCATTTTGTCATTATAGGTAGTTAGCTGGTGGCCTGCAGAAAGGCCTGTGTTGAGCAGAGTGGACCACAGGGAAGAAGTTTAAGAACCACTGCCCGAGGTTCTCCTCCTCCCAAATCTCAGTGAGAAAGAAAAAGTATGTTTAAATCCACAAACACATGAACAAGTCAGAAGGAGTCATAAACATCTCCCTTATGACAAGCTAATAAGGAAAATAAGAATGCTAGGTACATTTTTCCTGAAGTGCCTAAATCTCATTTTAAAACAGTAGCTTAGGTACTTATGAGCCTGGGACTAAAGATATTAGTACCTCAATCACTTCTGAAAATGGGTGCTAGGCACTTTTGAAAATTTTACCCACCAAACTTTAACTGAAATAACAGTATTCTAAAGCCCATTTTGGGAACTGCTTTATATTCTTGAACCAAAGACACAAACTGTGAAAATGCAATATGCATTATATTGGAACAACTAACTTACACATGATGTATATTCCTCAAAGAAGACAACATACATTAGAAAACAATCTTGCATATACACAATATCTCAGAGAGCTGCTGTTTTATGATTTGAGTGAGTGACCACCACGTTCTAATAGTGACACTGAAATGGCCTCCGTTCTGTAGTGGACCAAGAACCTCAGTCAAGTCATCTGGCTGTTCTTCCACTTCCTTTTCCCCCATCTGTAACAGAGATAACTGACTACCTTATACAAGCATTGTGATTCATAGATTCGAAGGCCAGAAAGGACCATTGTGCTCATCTAGCTTGTCCTATGTAATACCTACCAGAGGACTACTCAATTAATTCCTGTTTGAACTAGATCAGACTTTTTAAAAAATAGTTTATCTTGATACATACATATTACCAGACAAAAAGCTGTGATATTATGATAGCAATGTGATATTATGCAATAACCATGAAGTATGACTAATGTAGTTTAGCATTATGGTCTGTAGTAGATTAAACTATTTTTTAAACAAATGTTTGATTTTTTTCTCAATCAATCACTAACCCCACAGCATCACTACCTGGATAAATTAACATTTCACACGGTATTTAATTATGCCTTCGCAAATCGTAATATGTTTGGCTTTCTTTTTGAAGTTTGACCATTATGCCAAATTTCCTAGTTTTATAATATTTAGTTTCATATTAATAACTACCACTTCCCCATAGCATTTTACCTCATATTACAGGATATACTTTTAATTTAATCACATCTAAATATAGTGTGCTAATAAATTTTTCTCTAATCTAAAATGTCATAAGAGCACCGAAAAACTTGTCTATATTGTAATATGATGCTTGCAATAATCTGAAGTTATGAAGTATGAATTCAAAATGATTTTTATTTAAATCTGTATGGCCAGATTAGTTTGTACACTCTGGCTGTTTTATGCTACTCTGGAACTGCACAATGAAGCCAGAGCATACCATCCAGTTAGGCTGCGTTCATAGTGACTTTACTTCTTCAAACTAGTCAGACTGAATAGAACAAATTCCACATCCTCCAATACCCGTAAGTCCCACTGCCTCTCGTGTATTCCCACTTTCCTCTCAACACACCCCTTCTACACTCTACACTTCCCTGCATACTTCTCCATCCTATCACCCACATTCCCCTGCACTCACATGGCCCTCGTTTCCCCTTTCTTGTCCTCTCTGTTCATAAGTCGTGGTACATTTTATCACAAAAAAAAAAAGGATTATTTACGATTAATGGAAAATTATTTACCAGGTACACGTCACAAGATGGAAGCTGTGGGAGAAAT